ACCTCAGAATCTCTATTTAGTGCAGCTCCGAGATTCTGTTGACATCTTGCTCTACAAGTATGGTGGACAGCCAAGTCAAATTCACCCCACCACAGCTCCTCAGAAAGAATACACCGTCAATTACAGCTTTGGCATTCCCCTTCGTACTGATGCGGAAGCAAGTGTGGTTGGAATCGCAATACGACACAACTCCAGTGTCATCCGCGTCGAATCACCCTTTACCAGAGCTCTGTCTGAAGTTGGATGTGCCCTCTGGCGACTAGCACAAAGTGCGGCAGCGAAATTAGATTTACTACAAGCCCACCCTTGTGTCAACTGTTGTCACAGTGAGTTAGCACGCCTGCCGCTTATTCTCATTGAAGGACATCACGAGGGCACTTGCCTTACTGTTTGCCCCTCAACAGCCAGAGCACTTTGTGGGCAGGAACAGGCAGAAGTATGGGCAGTGCAAAACCCTCATGCTCTATGCATTCTTTTTGTCTGTCAAACAAACAATCCTGATCCTTCCGACTTCCATCATTTAGTTACCATTACTCCCGAAGAACATGGTGCACTACCTGCACTTCCAACTGCAGACTCTGCCATCTCGGCTTTTAAAGAGTCACTCCAAGCCACGCCGATTGACAGCTGCCCCAGTTTAGCTACTGCGAATGGATGGTACGTTTGTATTTGCGGAGAGCCTGCTCTTACTGTGTTCTGGGGAGCCCAAGCTCTCCTTAACCAGCAATGACGCGTCTCGCTTTGCTACCAACAGAGTGGCCTCTGTGGCGGTGGGGCCGGGTGGGTTAAACCTCACCCCCTATGCACGCACAATCTGTTGAAGAGCAGATGAAGTGCATTATGTCCAGATTATGATTGGGGTTGAGCAAATCCAGGTGCCGTTGCGACTGGCGGCAGCAGTGTTTCTACGCACTCCCTGGGATGATGGTACTAGTCCACGCATTTCGGAAATGGTTCTCGTGGCAGTACCTCTTGCCAATTCGACTTGATCGAAGATTCTCAGTGTTGCAAACAACACCGTCAGGTGAAAGTCCACTTTGAACACGGCAACACTCGGCTGCACGGGTGGCATCCGCTCCTCAGAAATCGAACGAAGCACGGAGCAAACGCACGAGTGTTTTGTCTCTGTCCAAATTGAATACCTTTAAACTCCAGATGCTGACTCTGACCTGGCAAGACTTTCCTCAAGACGTTAGTTTCTAATGCTGATTGGATGCTGGTAGCTCAGGGTTGGCGCGTTTTGCGGCGTTTTGGACAGAACTGCAAACATTTCCAAGCAGCATTACTCAACGACTTGGCTTTCTCCAGACGAGAACCGGTGGAACAGCTCCGACTGACTTCCAAGCTGTGGATGCGCTGGATCATGTTTGATGCATCCTCCGAGGAAATGGACTCTTTCGAGGAAGGTTTCAGGCTTGTTCTGAGAATTCTATTGTCAGCAATTCCAACCATTGGAAGGAGTCAACATGCTTTTGCCTTGAAGCCATGAGGGTGGATGTGAATGTTTCTCCCACTGCACGTCTCACTTGAGAGAAAGTTTGACTGCGAAGCGTTAATGCGCGCGGGGGTGCGGTCGCGAGCTTGGTAAGACATTTGAGAAATCGTCTCCACGAGATTAAGATCGTTGTGTCAAGCTGACGAGCTCTGTGTGTGTGCATGAGGTCCAGAGGTGTGGCAGCAGAAAGTCCATCTGACAAGGTCCCGGGCGAACATTCATTGAAATGGACACAAAAACAAGCAGTGTTCAATTCCTGCCACTGGTTTTCCTGTGGCAGGCAATCCAAATTGGCATCACTGGAAAAGCGAACACACGCAAGTGACACTGAAGGGCATCATTGCTGAGGCCGAAACTGGTCACACCTGAAAAGGGACCGCTGCGAAGAGAAGCTTTAGTGTCAGACACTGATCGTTGGGACAGCAAAGCGGCCAGCAGGACAGAAAACACGCAGCAGGACAGAGGAGCTGCCAGCTCTTCTTCCATGTCCTCGTCTCAACCCCCAGCCGCGAAGGAAGTTCCACGCAACTTCATGACATCACGCGCTTTGCAGCAGGCTTCAAAGGAAGGGACGTGTCAGCTGGATGGTCTCTGGCAGGTTGGACCTCCGATGGAGTTGTTGTTGTTTCATCTTCTGAAACAGCAACACCAAATCGACTTTTGTGCCAAGGCACCAAACGCTTCCTTCGTCAATTTCCATGGGTTTTTGAACCTTCGTGGCGGCATGCGGTCCTGGCTTGGATCAAATGGTTTTCCATTGGATCATGAAGAGGCTGCTCGCAGCGGCTAGCACTAAGGCCACTTGCCACAGACTTGAACGAGTTTTGAGTCGAGTGAGAGATGGTCCAAAGCCACCCAATATTGGTCTAGATGGGTCAGAAACAAAACTGACAATGTGCCTTTTCGGACGATTTTTGAACATCATTGCGTGCGTTTCGGATGATTTGGACAAATCAACAACAGGCCCTGACTTTGGTTAAGCAAATTAGACCAACAGCTGTGGCAAAACTGGCCTATCAGTTGAGACAACGCAGTCTATTGAGAGAAGTGTGTGAAAGAATTGAACATGGTCATCTTATTTGTCATGTGTTATGTTGGTGTTTATGTGATTTTTGTTGTTCTTTTTGGTTTTGTGTTGTTGGTTGGTGCCTGTTTTGTATTGGTTTGTGTTTTTGTCTCAAAGCCAGTTTGTTGCTTGACATCGTGCTGGTAGAAGCGGTGCCTTTTGCTTGATGGTTTGCTCACTCCGAACGTTTTCAAGTGGGTCAATTTCTATCAGCCTTGTTGTCACTTTTGTCATGCAATCACTATTCGATTAGTACTTTTGACAGATTTTTCCCCAACCAGTGTGGGCACACTCAGGGGTTCTTACGGTAAGGGAAAGGCAGCTGATGCTTGGATCGCTGAAGCGCGCGGGCGTGTGCGGCTGATTCGCTGTTATTTACAGTGCATTCATGGTTCTCGACATCGTCCATGTGCACTTCGACTGCGCAGGCTCGCAGAATCTGGGTGGCTGGAGCATGTGCTTGTCGCGACTGCGCTCTCGTTGTGGCACCGTGCGCCTTTTCGCACATGGTGATCACTTTTCGTGGCAGGCGCAAGGGAAACCTCGTGTTTTGGTGCCGCAAAGTCGACTTTTCGTGACAGGCGCAAGGGATTGGAGGTGTTTGACTTCGAAGTGCAGTTTTTGTGGCAGGCGCAGCGCCTTGGACATGGTGGTGATCGTCAAGGAGCTCAGATTTCGTGACAGGTGCAGTGAATCGTGACTTTTGGATATTTGTCTCGTTTTCAAATTTCGTGGCAGGCACAGTACTCTGTGACCCTCGACTCATTCTCCCACTCTCACTCACACTCACACTCCCTCTCATCCACACTCACTCACACCCACCTTCACTGCATCACCACCATCACCTCTCTGCACCCCAATGCGTCTCGATCTCTAGACTTTCTGCTTACAGACCTCACACACACTGTTTGGGGTCTCTTGCGGGGATATTTTTTCCGTGGAACACTGTGTATTTTTCTGGGAACTTTGTAGATAGCTCGCTCTGCAGTGCTACGGTTTTCACCCTTCGAGTTCAACATGCCACTTGTGTTGTCGTGGCCCGGCTTTGGCAAAAACAGTTTTTATTGATATACTTCTCCAGGGTCGGTGTTTCGGGAGAGGTCCACTCATATGTTGCTGTGTATACGCGGGGTTGGTGATCTTGGTAGACAACAAGCGACATACTTAGATAGTGGGTTTGCACTCAACCCAATTGCCATTTGGATTGTCTTAATTTTGGCTCGACAACCTGGCTACATGTATATTTAAATATTTATTATTTATATATGCACATCTGATTTCTAATGTCGCTGCCCTTGGCTTCTTGTATATACAAGGTGTAGAATCAACCCGGCTTCCAGTGGTTGAGCTGTGGTGTCAAGACCATGTCCGTGCAGTTTCAGTCCCAGAACTTTCAGCACATCTTGCGCATCTTGGGCCAAACCGCTTTTGTGGAACTGCTTTCACAAACTATTTCAGTATTCACATGCTCAGCTCAGGTATGTGCAACACCAACGTGGATGGCCGCCAGAAGGTCATGTTTGCACTTACAGCCATCCGTGGTATTGGTCGACGAATCTCAAACATCGTATCTGAGCAGAGAGGGAACCTGTTTAATTCGTTTTTCTTGGGGTTGCCCTTTCTGTTGGGGTGAGACAAACATTTGGACTGCATCAGAGGTGTGCAAGAAGTGCGACATTGACTTGAACAAGCGTGCGGGAGAGTTCACCACCGATGAGGTGAACAAGATTGTGGCAGTTGTAAGCAAACCCTTGGAGTTCAAGATCCCAGCATGGATGCTGAACAGGCAGCGTGACGTCAAGGATGGCAAGACGTCCCAGAAGTATGCCAACTTCCTGGATCAGGCCCTCCGAGAGGAGCCTTGTCCATGCTAATGCTTGCAATGCCAATACTTTTGTACACTCTATAGATTTGTGCCTTTCTGGCACACGTTCTTTGACATTGAGTGTTTGCACACTGTGTTGCAAATCTGAAGCTTTCCATTGTGCCACTGTCCAAGGACATTGAGCGAATGAAGCGCGTCCGCCTTCACAGGGGTCTTCGTCACTACTGGGGC